AAAATCTGTTCAACAATAACGTCGGCCTGATTCTATAACATAGAAGGTATGCTAAAAGAAACGCCCGTGGAATACCTAACATATATAATGATCAATATTAGGCATGAAAAGTAATAACCTTGAAGGGAAGGGAACTATCAGGTGAAAGTGCCAAGCATAATGATTTGGGATGGGACAGGGGGAAAGGAATGGTGTCCAATCACTTACACGGTCGGGGATTGAACACCGACCTGCATGAAGCAAGACCGTCTCTCGACCGTCCTGCCCAAGTGGTTGGGCTAGATGGTAGAGATTATTAAAACAAAACCTACATAAGGCAGATTATCAGTTCACCTTCGATAATCACTAATAATTGCGGCATTCATTGTCCACAGAGCGCACTCACAGGTAATACATACATTAGCAGTATACTGTCGGTAGAGACAGAAATATCTTCAGTGAAAATGACTTTTCTTTCCTAGTGACTTCAAAATGGCTACCACTCGCTGACTTGTGAGTTTACCAGCAAGTTTTCTGGTTATGTAACCAGCAAGTTTTCTAGTTACGTAACCACCAAGTTTTCTAGTTACGTACCCAGCAAGTTTTCTAGTTACGTAACCACCAAGTTTACTAGTTACGTTATAATCTGGTTAGCGTTTCTAATGCCACTTTTAATAACGCTTTTAACTAATGAAAGAATAATATGGGCTTCGATTTGGCTTCAAGAATAACTGTAGCGCATTTTTGGAGCGGTGAGCAGCAGTTGGTCATGGCTGTAGTGGAAGAATATGAGGTACTTCCAGAGGACACAAGAGTTACAGTTATGAATCTATAATTGTTACAGTTAAAGAGCCAGTTACTACGTTATGAGAACTTATCTTTAAGGCAAAATAATTCCTTGTCGTAAATCACATGAGCGAGTTATACTTAGGACAACGTGATTGGCCAAAACTATGACAATAATTTACATACAATATATTAGTAGGAATTACATTTCTTGTTGCCATATGAAAAATTACAGAGGACGGGGAAGGTAAATCGAGGCATCATACAGAGTTGCCACACAGTAATCTAACTGTCCTGAATCCCATGACGATACCCTCACTTCCCCATTCATAATTACCTTCAGACATATCATCTCCGTCGAGGACAAATTATGTTAGAATGATTGTGAACAAATACTATTCTTAGTTAGATCATATTATGTATGTAAAAGTGAGAGATTGTTCTCTCAAGAAGCATGACGGGCTCCCCCCCCCCCACACACACACACTACACAAACACTCTCCCTAACCAGTTACTCACACATGTTAAGTGGTTACCACTCACTTCAAGTACCACACAACCAAAATTATATACATATTGCATTGACATAATGGGAAAAATAGCCATTCCTCATCGTACTGGTTTTTACATATAACCTTCACACACACATGCGACATATGAATTCACATACTAAAGCTAACTGTAGCATTGTCGACGTGTGTTGTGAAAAGCTTTGAAAAGTAAATCATAAACACTCTGCTTCTGGTTAGGTTAGGTTAGGTTAGGTTAGGTCAGGTTAGGTTAGGTTAGGTTAGGTTAGGTTAGGTTAGGTTAGGTCAGGTTAGGTTAGGTTCGAGTTGGCGTTTTAGTTGACGGTGTTGATGTGTATTTGTTGTTGTGGTTGCAGGGGAAGCCCAGGATAGAACCAATTTAATGCAGCAATTAATTTTGTCTTGTAATTATAGGGGTAAGGAGCCGCCTCGCCACGGCCTTAGGCAGCAATTTGTTGCCATGAACCGTTGCATGGTCCGCGACTCTTGTGTGTGTGTGTGTGTGTGTGTGTGTGTGTGTGTGTGTGTGTGTGTGTGTGTGTGTGTGTGTACTCACCTAATTGTGCTTGCGGGGGTTGAGCTTTGGCTCTTTGGTCCCGCCTCTCAACTGTCAATCAACTGGTGTACAGATGTGTGTGTGTGTGTGTGTGTGTATGTGTGTGTGTGTGTGTGTGTGTGTGTGTGCAATGTTTACGGTCAGTGAGGCCCGGGTTGCGTCCCCGGTTGCTACTGCACGCGCCTCCGTGGCGTGATAATTGTTGCCTTAATTATTTGTATTATCATTATTACTATCATTATCATTATTATTATTAATATTATTATTATTGAACAAATACGTTAGGAGCCGTGATGAGGATTCGAACCTATGCGTTGGGTGATCCCAGGCTCTGGTCTACGACAGTGTGCATTGTCGAGGTAATTAGGTAGGATGTAATCACGTTAATGTGATTACTCTGTATATTATTAATATTGATTTTTAATATTAAAATAATTAAAATAACTATTTCAATGTAATTTATATATTGATATATTTCACGTTGACGTTTATGTAAACTAATACAAAGATCACTGGTATACAGAGATAATAAATAAAAGACATAACTCTTCACGTATCGTCCTCCAGGTCTTCCTCCTCCTCCTCCTCTTCCTCTTCCTCTTCCTGGCTCTCCTCCTCCTCGGCTATGAGATTTAGGTGTAACTCCCGTCATGTGATTAATTACGGGAAGCCACCAAAGAGTCTCCCAAAGGGATAGGAACCACCAGGATCACGATGTGTGTGAGGGGAAATCTTCATCATGCCTCTCTCTCTCTCTCTCTCTCTCTCTCTCTCTCTCTCTCTCTCTCTCTCTCTCTCTCTCTCTCTCTCTCTCTCTCTCTCTCTCTCTCTCTCTCTCTCTCTCTCTCTCTCTCTCTCTCTCTCTCTCTCTCTCTCTCTCTCTCTCTCTCTCTCTCTCTCTCTCTCTCTCTCTCTCTCTCTCTCTCTCTCTCTCTCTCTCTCTCTCTCTCTATTCCACTGTTCCAGCCTGCTCCCTGTTGCCTTAAATGCTGCTGTTGATGTCTCACTATAGTACCCAAAGCGAAACTACTTACTACTCCTCTCTAGATATGGTAAAGGTATGATACATATCAGTAGAAAGCGCAAACCCACTACGGCTAAACAGTAGTTTAAAAAGGGGGGAGGGAGGGAGGGATAGGAGGATAAGGAGTCTGGGATATAAGGGCTGGAAGGCAATTAACGGTGACTTATATCTTATCTTCACTTGTTAAGGCTTTCACTCCCAATGCTATACAGTCATGCTGGCTTCACGCGTCCTCACTATTGCCTTAAAACACCCGATGCTGTTTAATGTATTAATTAAAATTCTGTTGCTCTTAATACTGAAATGGATTCCAGCGAGGTACAGGGAGTCATGGCAGAAGATTCACCTTCTGCCAGCTGCAGCTGCAAAATGATACCAGCTGCAGGTATACAGAGACTACCAACGGTACCAGCTGTAAGTATACATAGACTACCAACGGTACCAGCTGCAGGTATACAGAGACTACCAACGGTACCAGCTGCAGGTATACAGACACTACCAACGGTACCAGCTGCAGGTATACAGACACTACCAACGGTACCAGCTGCAGGTATACAGAGACTACCAACGGTACCAACTGCAGGTATACAGACACTACCAACGGTACCAACTGCAGGTATACAGAGACTACCAACGGTACCAGCTGCAGGTATACAGAGACTACCAACGGTACCAACTGCAGGTATACAGACACTACCAACGGTACCAACTGCAGGTATACAGAGACTACCAACGGTACCAGCTGCAGGTATACAGACACTACCAACGGTACCAACTGCAGGTATACAGACACTACCAACGGTACCAACTGCAGGTATACAGAGACTACCAACGGTACCAGCTGCAGGTATACAGAGACTACCAACGGTACCAGCTGCAGGTATACAGAGACTACCAACGGTACCAGCTGCAGGTATACAGAGACTACCAACGGTACCAACTGCAGGTATACAGAGACTACCAACGGTACCAGCTGCAGGTATACAGAGACTACCAACGGTACCAGCTGCAGGTATACAGAGACTACCAACGGTACCAGCTGCAGGTATACAGAGACTACCAACGGTACCAACTGCAGGTATACAGACACTACCAACGGTACCAGCTGCAGGTATACAGAGACTACCAACGGTACCAACTGCAGGTATACAGACACTACCAACGGTACCAACTGCAGGTATACAGAGACTACCAACGGTACCAACTGCAGGTATACAGACACTACCAACGGTACCAACTGCAGGTATACAGAGACTACCAACGGTACCAGCTGCAGGTATACAGAGACTACCAACGGTACCAGCTGCAGGTATACAGAGACTACCAACGGTACCAGCTGCAGGTATACAGAGACTACCAACGGTACCAGCTGCAGGTATACAGAGACTACCAACGGTACCAGCTGCAGGTATACAGAGTCAGCCAACGGTACCAGCTGCAGGTATACAGAGACTACCAACGGTACCAGCTGCAGGTATACAGAGACTACCAACGGTACCAACTGCAGGTATACAGAGACTACCAACGGTACCAGCTGCAGGTATACAGAGACTACCAACGGTACCAACTGCAGGTATACAGAGACTACCAACGGTACCAGCTGCAGGTATACAGAGACTACCAACGGTACCAGCTGCAGGTATACAGAGACTACCAACGGTACCAACTGCAGGTATACAGACACTACCAACGGTACCAACTGCAGGTATACAGAGACTACCAACGGTACCAACTGCAGGTATACAGACACTACCAACGGTACCAGCTGCAGGTATACAGAGACTACCAACGGTACCAGCTGCAGGTATACAGAGACTACCAACGGTACCAGCTGCAGGTATACAGAGACTACCAACGGTACCAGCTGCAGGTATACAGAGTCAGCCAACGGTACCAGCTGCAGGTATACAGAGACTACCAACGGTACCAGCTGCAGGTATACAGAGTCAGCCAACGGTACCAGCTGCAGGTATACAGAGACAGCCAACGGTAGCAATAAAACATTATATTAAGCTTGTTATCCCTTGACAACAAATTAGTCCCCGCACGTGGGACGATGCTGCCATTAATATAACTTGCTGGCTGGGACTTTGGCTCTTACTCAACAGTGTGAAGAACTATAATGATGATGGTTACGCGACCCCAGCAGAAGGAGCAGCAGCAGCAGGAGCAGCAGCAGCAGAACAGGAGTAGCAACATAAGAGCTGCAGCAGCAGGAGCCACAGCAGCGGCAATAGATGCAGTAGCAAATGCAGACGCAGGAGCAGCATCAGACGCAGCAGGAGCCACAGCAGCGGCAATAGATGCAGTAGCAAATGTAGACGCAGGAGCAGCATCAGACGCAGCAGGAGCAGCAGCAGCAGGAGCTGTAGCCTCAGCAGCAAATACAACAGCAATAGCAGACACAGCAGCAGTTGCAGACGCAGTAGCAGACGCAGCAGCAGTAGCAGTCGCAGCAAACACAGATCAAAACATTATATGAAAGCGAGACACATATTTGCGTGTGAATGACTGGAAGTTGATAGGATCTTTAGAATGATCATCACCCATCACGGAAAGCACCTACTGCAGAAGCAGGGTAGTGATAACAACAGCCCTAGTGACAGCCGCTATACACCAACGTCTTACAGCGCTAGTGACAGCCGCTATACACCAACGTCTTACAGCGCTAGTGACAGCCGCTATACACCAACGTCTTACAGCGCTAGTGACAGCCGCTGTACACCAACATCTTACAGCGCTAGTGACAGCCGCTGTACACCAACATCTTACAGCGCTAGTGACAGCCGCTGTACCCAACATCTTACAGCGCTAGTGACAGCCGCTGTACACCAACATCTTACAGCGCTAGTGACAGCCGCTGTACACCAACATCTTACAGCGCTAGTGACAGCCGCTGTACACCAATGTCTTACAGCGCTAGTGACAGCCGCTGTACGCAACATCTTACAGCGCTAGTGACAGCCGCTGTACACCAACATCTTACAGCGCTAGTGACAGCCGCTGTACACCAACATCTTACAGCGCTAGTGACAGCCGCTGTACACCAACGTCTTACAGCGCTAGTGACAGCCGCTGTACACCAACATCTTACAGCGCTAGTGACAGCCGCTGTACACCAACGTCTTACAGCGCTAGTGACAGCCGCTGTACACCAACATCTTACAGCGCTAGTGACAGCAGCTGTACACCAACGTCTTACAGCGCTAGTGACAGCCGCTGTACACCAACGTCTTACAGCGCTAGTGACAGCCGCTGTACACCAACATCTTACAGCGCTAGTGACAGCCGCTGTACACCAACATCTTACAGCGCTAGTGACAGCCGCTGTACACCAACGTCTTACAGCGCTAGTGACAGCCGCTGTACACCAACATCTTACAGCGCTAGTGACAGCCGCTGTACACCAACATCTTACAGCGCTAGTGACAGCCGCTGTACACCAACATCTTACAGCGCTAGTGACAGCCGCTGTACGCAACATCTTACAGCGCTAGTGACAGCAGCTGTACACCAACATCTTACAGCGCTAGTGACAGCCGCTGTACGCAACATCTTACAGCGCTAGTGACAGCCGCCAGCCTAATGAAGATGAGGTCACCCCAGAGGTTCAAGTTGCGCAGAAGAATATCTCTGCACACAAAAAAGTGCGAGCATCTTAAATACTTAATACAATACCTTTAGCAGCAAGAACAGCAACAGTACTAGCAATATATATATATATATATATATATATATATATATATATATATATATATATATATATATATATATATATATATATATATATATGCATCTACAGCAACAACAGAAGCATGAGCCACAGTAGCAAAGCCTTACTATTCCCAGGAACAATAGCACCAGTTAAGCAAGTCGCAGCTGTGTCTGGGTACAAGTAACAGGACGAACAACCCAGCGGGTTTTTTTTTCCTATTGGGGAGTGTTGTATATGCTGCTATGACGGCACTCCGCCATAGCATATATGTCCACTTACAGGATGATTGGCGCTGCCGAATAAGCTCGCCCCTCGGGGCAAAATTTTAAATACCGCCAGAAGTTCCTGCAACATTAGCATCATCAACAGTAGTTTTAATTCCGTAAACACTGTGACCTATAGAAGTAACATCACCAGCAGTAACGTGATTACCAAACTACGAGTCGGAAAACGAGGAAACGACGACGTTTCGGTCTGTCCAGGACCATTATCAAGTCGTGTGATCTCGTAATGGTTCATGATGGACCAAAACGTAGTCGTTTTCTCGTTTTCTGATGTGCTGTTTGATCATCATATCTTCAGCCACGTTATTGTGGCTCATCGTCTGCACCAGCAGTGACAGCATCAGCAAGACGGCAAGGGTGACTAAAAGCCAGTTTCCCCCCACGTCTCCAGCCTAAGCCACCACCCAATGAGCCAACTTCACTCAACGAACCAGTGGAGCGCTTCATTGGCGCAGCGGGTCGGCCAGCGGTTCTGAATCGCGGTCGTGAGCTCCCTTAATTAAACACCTTCTTGGAAATTTTTTCCTGAACTCCATAATTCTTCCTTGTCCGGGTACCCTCGGGAAAGGTTCCACTAGCCCCCCACCCCCCTGGCACGATCCATGACGGCAGGAATCATCAGGAGACGTTGAATATGATTTGAGGGTCGGCCAGGGCTCTGAGCGAGCCAAGGTTCGAAGTGGGTCGGGATTCCTCAGTAGGCAGGGTATGAGACGATGAAGAATATCAAAATTGGTGGGAACAGTGACGAAGCTTCTGTGTATAGCAAGAGGGATTGGAAGGGTGAGCAAAGGTGTGTGGGGTAAAAATGTGTGCTCTGGGCAGGGGAGAAGTATATAGAAGAAAGGGTTTGAAAGGAGTTGAAAATATGAGGGGAAAAGAAGTGGTGAGCAAAAAGGGCCAACAGTGTGTGTGCAGGCAATCACAGAAGAAATGAACGTCGGGGAGCTAGAGAGAAAATTTCCCCTGAGAAGAAAGGCTGGGAGAGGTGAGAGAGGTTGTTGTGTTGAGATTAGAAGTGTTCGATGGAGGTGGACACGTAAAGTTGTTTTGCGACTTTGATTAGACGAGGGAGGTAGAAATCTATCTGGCAATCCAAGAAGATACAGTCAGCTATATCTCCCCCCCCCCCATCCTGTGTGATCACTTTCGTCACATAACTCTAACAGGTACTCTGAGACACGACTTTCCCTGTTTAAACCCGTTTTTTAAGCTTTGTCGCAAACTTGTTCTTTCTAGGTGATCCGTTACTCCTGATTAATATATTTAGGCAGTTCACAAAGTATACACGTCAATGACATGGACCGGAAAATCCCAACACAGTCCAATCGTCCATTCCAGGGCAGATCATTTCATCCCAAAACCAGCTACTTAATCCCAGCACAACCATATATTGCATTCCTCCTCCATTATCCTCATTTTAAACACAGGACAGGCCAAACAAGCCAAGCCAGCCCAGCACAAAGGAATTTAGCCCATCCTCCCCCAACCCAGCTCAGGGCCATCCGAGGACAGCTTAGGGAGCGTGTGCGTAGCTAATGAGATTAGTTTATACAGAAGGTTTTTCTTTCGCGACGACGTGAGCAAAGTACTCCGTGATTGATCGTTCCCGTGTTTTTATTTTATTGTTGAATACGTACCTAAACAGCAATTGTCATACGTAAAAAAACCAGTGTTCAATTGTGCATTGATTGTTTTTTTTATGAAGTGTAAATGGCGACTTAGTATGTGTTGTTTTTTTTTTATTTTTCGCGTTCCTCCTGCTAATGTATATTTGATTGAATAAACACTTAGACGTACACACAAACACAAGCATACACACACACACAAACGCGCACGCGCGCAGAAATGCAGACAGACACACACACACACACACACACACACACACACACACACACACACACACACACACACACACACACACACACACACACACACACACACACACACACACAGGTTTTCTTTAAATAAATTTAGCTGTTTCGACAGAGGGGTTCTCTTGCTCTCCAGAAGCACAGAACCCAAGACCTCATACAAGGACCTGAAGTTCGACACCCACCCCACACGTCGAAAAATCCTGGAAGTGACGATGATGGTCCAGGACGGAACGAAACGTCAAGTCATCGAGGACTGACCGAAATGTTGTCGATTTCTTCATTTCAGATGTGTGGGTTGGAAGGCCAATTTTCACACCGTTTTTGTGACTTACTGTCTCCAACTGTTAATTTTCTACAGCCCAAAAGCTTTAGATACCCGGCAGAGCAAAAAGCATCCCAGAAGAGACCAGACAATCCAACGAAGCCGAAACTCAGCCTCCAGGATACAGAGAAGCCGGAACTCAGCCTCCAGGATACAGAGAAGCCGGAACTCAGCCTCCAGGATACAGAGAAGCCGGAACTCAGCCTCCAGGATACAGAGAAGCCGGAACACAGCCTCCAGGATACAGAGAAGCCGGAACTCAGCCTCCAGGATACAGAGAAGCCGGAACTCAGCCTCCAGGATACAGAGAAGCCGGAACTCAGCCTCCAGGATACAGAGAAGCCGGAACTCAGCCTCTGATACTCTAATGATCTTATGGAAGCCACTCCCTTCCTTGCACTCCACCCGGAGCCCAGTCTCCAACACACACACACACACACACACACACACACACACACACACACACACACACACACACACACACACACACACACACACATAAGCTACATCCTGCAGCGTTGGTATCGACAGGATCTGCAAACACGTGTCAGAGAGACAGGAGGAGAGGGAGAAAAGGAGGGATGGATTAAGGATGAAGGGAGAGAAGGGAGAATAGATGGCTAAGGCAAGAGTCTTCCCTCCACCCGAAGGAAAAAAAAATGTTGTCAGTCGACTCGCCCACAAAAACGTTATCAATCAGGAGTGTTTTCAGCGAGGCCTTTGTTCAAGCTCAACTCAGCTGGTCCTCTCATGAAAACCTCCCGTTGGCGCGAGTTCAAACAGAGCTAAGACACCCAGGTTGTTAAAATGCAAACTTACGCAGCGACGCATATGGAGTCTCGCCCTAAGAGGATGCCATCAGCAGAGCAATATTGTGCCCCTACTCCATGCCCCCTCAGTCTCTAGTAGAGAGAGACGCTCCCCCCCACTCCTCCCTCTTCCCCCCATACCTCTCCTTAGGTTTTAGTTTCGGCGTTCATCATTCATCATTGCAAAATTAAAAGCTATTCTCTTCCCCTTTGTCTGGGCCCGGAGACCGCGAGCCCCGCGAGCGAGAGCAGCAACGCGAGATGACAACGCTAACGACGAGGCGCAATAGACAGAGCCGCCGTGGCTAAACAGAGGGGATTTTATTTTTTGTTTATGTGTACTTTTTTTTGTTATTGAGATGAACGAAAGCTTGTGAAGAGCGCGTAACCTGTCCGACTTGTAACTCATCATCGGGAGCTCTCCCTTGTTACCGACCACGTCTCCCGAACCTCGCCCGCGACCCTGACCTCGGCTGGCCGTCTCCACAAGACGTAATGACCGTCCTCCCATCAAATACAAAACCTCTAGTACAGCACACACACACACTGCCTAGGGGCCGGTGGCTGACTGGACAGCACGCTGGACGCTGGACCAACCCTGTGGTCGAGGGGCCGGCGAGAAACAATGGGCAGAGTTTCTTTCACCCTGATGCCCCTATTACCTAGCAGTAAATAGGTACCTGGGAGTTAGTCAGCTGTCACAGGCTGCTTCCTGGGGTGTGTGTATGTGTGTGTGGTGTGACAAAAAAAAAGTGGTTAGTAAACAGTTGATTGACAGTTGATAGGCGGGCCGAGAGAGCAGAGCTCCCCGTAAGGACAACTAGGTGAATACAACTAGGTGAATACACACATACACACACACACACACACACACACACACACACACACACACACACACACACACACACACACACACACACACACACACACTTCTGATAAAGCATTCTGATAAAGAAAGAGATCTAGGGGTGGTTCTAGATAGAAAACTATCACCTGAGGACCACATAAAGAATATTGTGCGAGGAGCCTATGCCACGGTTTCTAATTTCAGAATTGCTTTTAAATACATGGATGGCGATATACTAAAGAAATTGTTCACGACTTCTGTTTGGCCAAAGCTAGAATATGCAGCGGTTGTGTGGTACCCATATCTTAAGAAGCACATCAACAAATTGGAAAAGGTGCAAAGACATGCTACTAGTGGTTCCCAGAACTGAAGGGCAAGAGCTACGAGGAGTGGTTAGAGGCATTAAATATGCCAAAACTAGAAGACAGAAGAAAAAGAGGGGATATGATCACTATATACAAAATAGTAACAGGAACTGATAAAATCGATAGGGAAGATTTCCTGAGACCTGGAACTTTAAGAACAAGAAGTCATAGATTTAAACTAGCTAAACACAGATGCCGAAGAAATATAAGAAAATTCACTTTAGCAAACAGAGTGGTAGACGGTTGGAACAAGTTAGGTGAGAAGGTGGTGGAGGCCAAGACCGTCAATAGTTTCAAAGCACTATATGACAAAGAGTGCTGGGAAGACGGGACACCACGAGCTACGCTCGTGGTGTCCCGTAGCACTCTTTGTGCTCTCCCAGTATTCTTTGTCTTCCCAGCACTCTTTGTCTTATCCAACACCACCGTCCCGTGGTGTTGGATAAGTGAACATATGAATGGAAGCAACTGCAGAAGGTCTATTGGCCTATACTTCCTCTTGCTTCTTCCATATTGGTTCGGGGTCTTGAAGTAGGTAGAATATAGTTGTGCATTAATACTGCAACCCTTCTGCAGTTACTACCATTCATATGTTCACTTATCCAATTTATACCATTGTTTCGTGTTCTATCTTGTGTTTGTCACCTCACCCAAAACATTTGTACCATATCACCTCATCCAATAGAGCATAAGGTCAAAGATTTTGTGTGCAAATTAAGTCTTTGAAAACGTAATACGAATTACGAAACGCGTTCAGGCGTCAGACAATTTAAAAATGAATTTCGGAGAATTGTTATTTTTATTACCACCGACAGTGAAGAAAAACATAAGAAATATTGAGAAGATTCGTGTTAGAATTATTTATCTTACCTTTTCTGTCATATTCAACAACATATATATATATATATATATATATATATATATATATATATATATATATATATATATATGTCGTACCTAGTAGCCAGAACTCACTTCTCAGCCTACTATTCAAGGCCCGATTTGCCTAATAAGCCAAGTTTTCCTGAATTAATATATTTACTATAATTTTTTTCTTATGAAATGATAAAGCAACCCTTTTCTCTATGTATGAGGTCAATTTTTTTTATTGGAGGTAAAATTAACGTAGATATATGACCGAACCTAACCAACCCTACCTAACCTACCCTAACCTATATTTATAGGTAAGGTTAGGTTAGGTAGCCAAAAAAAGCTAGGTTAGGTTAGGTTAGGTAGGTTAGGTAGACGAAAAAACATTAATTCATGAAAACTTGGCTTATTAGGCAAATCGGGCCTTGAATAGTAGGCTGAGAAGTGAGTTCTGGCTACTAGGTACGACATATATATATATATATATATATATATATATATATATATATATATATATATATATATATATATAGAGAGAGTTTTCAGTTTTCAGTTATATATATATATGTGTGTGTGTGTGTGTGTGTGTGTGTGTGTGTGTGTGTGTGTGTGTGTGTGTGTGTTGTACCTAGTAGCCAGAACGTCGTATTTGGCCTACTATGCAAGGCCCAATTTGCCTAATAAGCCAAGTTTTCCAAAATTTATATATTTTTCTAATTTTTTTCTTATGAAATGATAAATCTATACATTTCTTTATGTATATGTTAATTTGTTTAAATTTGAGTTGAAACTAACGAAGATATATGACCGAACTTAACCAACCCTACCTAACCTAACCTAACCTATCTTAACCTAACCTAAATTAACACAACTAAGTCAATAAATTATGGTCTTAATAAAATATAATAATAATAATTCAAATAAACTAATTGGAAACCATTTATTGAAAATAAAGAGTATATTGGCAGCAGGTTATCTTTTAAACATGTCTCATTAAATATGACCGCATATTCTGTATTTACTGTCTACTGGTTTAGGGCTTCTATCCCTCTAACTATTATCCTTGCATCAGGGTTTAGTTGAAAGAGGAGTTCTCCAAAACTCATGTTCGTTTTCAAGGTGAAGAAAAAAGTTAATTACTATAGAATGTATCACACTTATTATACAATTGCACAACGTTTCGAACTTAGGTTCGAAACGTTGACCAACACACACATCAGAAAATGAAGAAACAACGAACTTTCAGTCCCTCTTGGACCCTAATCAAGTCATGTGGCAGAAGAGAGGAAGGGACAGGCAAATAAATAAGGTAAGAGAGTGAGACGAGAGTTGAGGAGCAGGCAAGAAAAAAATCTTGCCCTTCATCTAATTTGTACCTTCTTTTCTCTTACCTGGCTCCTCACCTCTCATCTCACTCTCTTATTTATTTACTGCCCCTTCATCTCTTCTATCTCTTCCTCTCTGAATGAATCGACAGATGAGCAGACAATGAAGGGAGAAAACCAGACATGAATAATCACGAAGACAAAGTGAAAGAAAAAGAAAATGTAATAAAAACTTCAGATATAAGAGTCATTGAAGCAGATGAGGATAAACTGACAGAAAAGCAATTTGACAGAATCGTCAACAGCAAGATTGCAGAGCAATAACTGTTGACGATGAGCTCAAGGGGAAAAAAAATCTTACCTTGAGGCAAGAGGAATTTTGTCCCGAACGGTGTTTCTCACATCCGGATACGAGAAACCTTTCTCACATCCGGATACGAGAAACCTTTCTCACTTCCGGATACGAGAAACCTTTCTCACTTCCGGATACGAGAAACTTTTCTCACGTCCGGATACGAGAAACCTTTCTCACATCCGGATACGGGAAACTTTTCTCACATCCGGATACGAGAAACTTTTCTCACGTCCGGATACGGGAAGCCTTTCTCACATCCGGATACGAGAATTCTTTCTCACATCCGGATACGGGAAACTTTTCCCACATCCGGATACGAGAAACTTTTCTCACATCTGGATACGAAAAACTTTTCTCACATCTGGATACGAGAAACCTTTCTCACATCCGGATACGAGAAACTTTTCTCACATCCGGATACGAGAAACTTTTCTCACATCCGGATACGAGAAACCTTTCTCACATCCGGATACGAGAAACCTTTCTCACATCCGGATACGAGAAACCTTTCTCATCCGAATACGAGAAACCTTTCTCATATCCGGATACGAGAAACCTTTCTCACATCCGGATACGAGAAACTTTTCTCACAACCGGATACGAGAAACCTTTCTCACATCCGGATACGAGAAACCTTTCTCACATCCGGATACGAGAAACCTTTCTCACATCCGGATACGAGAAACCTTTCTCACATCCGGATACGAGAAACCTTTCTCACATCTGGATACGAGAAACCTTTCTCATCCGGATACGAGAAACCTTTCTCACATCTGGATACGAGAAACC